TAGGACAAGGCGTTGCATGGCAAATACCTAAAAAAGAAGTACAAAAGCAAATGTAGCCGAACAGAAAACATATCAGTGACTGAGGAGTACTGTATTGAAAGCTGAGACAAGAGGCCTAATTATTGCAAAACCCCGAAACCAGATCCTGTCACTGTCACATAATCAAGGATGGAACAAACCCGAAAAGTAGTATCTGCGGAAAATATGATGAAACTGTCGACAATATTATCTCAGGATGCCCAGAACTGGCAAAAAATGAATATACCCACAGACATAATGTAGTGACATATGTGCACTGGAAGATATGCAAGAAGCATAAAATCGAAAACACTGAGAGATGGTATGAGCACCAACCACACACAGTTACCCAAAATAACTATGTAACTATCCTTTGAGAAATGCCAATTCAAACTGACAGAGAAATAAAAGCCAACAGACCTGATATTATCATAAAAGACAAGAAATTCAGAAAATGTATGCTTATTGACATTGCAGTGCCATCTGAGAGAAACAGCTCCATAAAAATTATCGAGAAATTTTCCAAATACAAGGACATGGAGATCGAGATTAACGGGATGTGGAGAATGAAGACTGAGACTGTACCAATAGTAATCGGAGCACTGGGCCTCGTGAGAGAAGGAATGAACAATTTTTCTATTAGTGTCCCAGGTGACATTAACATCCTGGATGCCCAGAAGATCGCCCTACTAGGAACATCACATATAGTAAGAAAAGTTTGTAGTCATATCTAGAAGATATCTGAAGAAGCCTAACTTTGGAGTCATATCTAGAAGATATCTAGAAGATATCTGAAGAAGCCTAACTTTGGAGTCATATCTAGAAGATATCTAGAAGATATCTGAAGAAGCCTAACTTTGGAGTCATATCTAGAAGATATCTGAAGAAGCCCTAACTTTGGAGTCATATCTAGAAGATATCTAGAAGATATCTGAAGAAGCCTAACTTTGGAGTCATATCTAGAAGATATCTGAAGAAGCCTAACTTTGGAGTCATATCTAGAAGATATCTGAAGAAGCCTAACTTTGGAGTCATATCTAGAAGATATCTAGAAGATATCTGAAGAAGCCTAACTTTGGAGTCATATCTAGAAGATATCTGAAGAAGCCTAACTTTGGAGTCATATCTAGAAGATATCTAGAAGATATCTGAAGAAGCCTAACTTTGGAGTCATATCTAGAAGATATCTGAAGAAGCCTAACTTTGGAGTCATATCTAGAAGATATCTAGAAGATATCTGAAGAAGCCTAACTTTGGAGTCATATCTAGATACTGAACAAGATGGATTACCCGACCTAAATGTAGTTCTAATTAAACCCCAGCTACAAGATTATATTCTGTTTGTATGAATATCTGTCTCCATATTTCGCCCATTTGAATGTGATGCATCATACGTATTCTTTATTAGACTGGGTGTCATGATGGGTACATAAGGCTTCATATATGTATTTGTGAATCAGAAAGTTAGTCCTCAATACATTCACACATACAGGAGTATATCAATTAGATCTATCATGGTGAAAGTATTAATGAACAATTAACGAGGTTTTCATCGTTTTATGAAAGTCAACTCCTCGTGACTTAGTTTGGTTTTCGTTTTGGTAATGGATGTAACGATGTTATCAGACATCTCCAAGAAATTGTTTACCTCTCTAATAGAAAACTGTATACCTGCTTTGCCGACCTCACAGCAACATATAATCTGATCTATAGAGACTTCTTCCTTTCATCCATTAGAAACCACTTTCTAAACACCGAATTCACTGTCTGAATCGATCTGACAGAGGAACAGTATTGAGCTACAAAATCTTATATGTCTGGTGAGGACCACAATACAGACCTCATCAGGAATACGACAAGGAGAAAATGTGAGCCCCAGTCTGTTTAATAATCTTCCTAGACTATACCCTGTGTATTTACATGCATAGATGTGATGAGATGGGAACTGGCCATTTAAACATTCCATACCGTATCCCAAACGAGTCTACCAGTAGAAGACAACGATCTTGCTTTCCCTCCCGAGGCCAATGTACTGATGATGAGTGAGGCTATGCTGATGACATAGGTGTTCATAGTTGAGATAAGAATTATATTGAACAGAAAATCAGTGTCCTCTATCAATGGTTCCAAGAAAGGTTTATCTTGACTCAAGACAACCTAATCCAGGATGTGTAATTAGTAAATACTAAACACTTCAGATACCTCGACGTATGGATCGACTATAATAAATTAAGTTTAGGAGAAAAAGAAATTGAACATAAAATAAGCTGTGCCAGGGGTAGTTTCGCCAAACACCTCTAATAGTTACAAAATCAAAACATCAACCTGAAAACTCGAGTCATGTTCTTAAATAATCTCATCAGATCGAAACTTTCATATGGATGCCATGAATGGCGCCAAACTCGTTCAGAAATATTTAAACTGTCAGCTGTATACAACCACTTCCTAAGTTCAATGGCAAAAACGGGATTTTAGCGAGTAAAACCTGAGTCTTGACAAATATCATCCTTCTTTGAACGTTGTGAACTGGCGCTAAAAAATTACAAAGAACTGTACCAAATAACAAAAACCACATTGCTTGAGGACTACCAACAACAACAACAACAACAACTTAAATGGTTACCACGTGTAATTCGAAGAGAAAATAATGACATAAGATGTTAATATTACCCACCACTTCATAGAGAAAGTTTAAAAGGAAACATACTGGAAAGAGCTATAATAGTTACTGGACTTGAGAAATCTGTTTTCCTGAAAAATTGTTTTAAGAGAAAGATTTTATAAATTTCAACCGAAAGCAGTACTGACTACTCAGTCAATGAATGACAAATGTTTCCTTATAGGGAAACAGCTAATATTAACATTACCATTTTCTTGGTGTCTTGCTCTTTCTATAATAATCATCATTTCGTATTATTTCTACCTGCTACAGATTGCCACATTTCTGAAACATTTTATTTTTTTGTAGGAATTTCAGCCATCATAAGTTTTTAGGCCGAGACCTCTCTCTCAGTGGCCAGTCGTAGTTTTTATCGAGACACCATCTCGAAATAAATTTGTAGCAAAAGCTAAAAAGTTTCAAACTGTCTGTTAGGTAGGGACTTGTGTCTTCGTGTATATTTGACTGTGGTGCATGTGCTTCGTATACACTTATCAGACTGGATATCATACGGGATATGATGGACCTCGTAAATTTTTATTCCCACGTCATTTTTTTGTTGGTGGCCAGGGTGCTGCTTCTCACTCAATAATAATATCCACCGGAAACAGCCTGTTCAGTACCACAGATTTCCTTGTCAGTTGCCTGATCCTGAACAGTTGAGTATCTCCCCTAGCAGCTGACGAACTGCACACCTCTATTCCCGGGCGAGAGAAGTAGGGAGCACCACAGAATGCGTCAACAGAGTTGGGATTTGCTTTTATTTTTGTTTTTTTATACATTTGCGGGACGAGGCAGCCAGTGCGACCTTGGAGCAACATTAAATTACTTGTGAGCAGCCTTAATCAGAGACTGAGCAGACTGTGTGACTCGACTTGAACGGTTGTCTAGCTTATCCCCACTTGCAAGGTTACCATATCATGCTCGTACTGTATCTTCCTGGTATATTGTTAGAATGGTATACTATCAGACTGGGTATCATAGTGGATATACTGAGATTCGTATAGTTGTAATCCAGCATCACTTTGTTGGTGCACTGTTTGTTATTCAATAATAATAACAATACCAAGAGGAAAAAGACAATGTATGCAAGCTAATAAACACTTGTGCAAATTAATTGCAACAACCGCTTTAGTTTCCTTTCTTTCACGACACGGTCAGTCTTAGACCCACTGAACTGACAGGGTGTAATCGATTTCTATTTTTTCCTCAGATTAGGTCATTTGCAGTGTTGTGCAGTAATATGAATCTATTTTCTGGTGTATGAGGTAATTTGCTTGGCATTGAAAAATATTGCATCATCATGAGTGCGTCAGATTTTCATCTAGCCCAGACACTATTGTCTCGACTGTCGATTAGTTGTCCTACGGCCATTGTCTGCGATGGACATTACTCCAAGGAAGCGTACGAAAATTGTAACGCTGCAGAAACATAAGCCTTACCAGTGAGAACATCAAAGTACTATAGACGGGACCGGAAACTTTCCTGATTTAAATCCAGTCGAGAATCAGTGGTCAATCTGCAAGGAACGACTTCGTCGAATGGACATACAAAATACTAACATATGCACTGGGTCATGTTTCACTGGAAAAATACAAAAAAATGTAAATAATAACGGAATTATTCGTTTTGTTTCAATTAATTTGCACAAGGGTGTAAGAATTTACTGAAGGAATGTTGACAAAACCTATACTACGATTAATAAAACCAACGTAGAAAGAAAGATATCTGCAACAATGACATCATTATGAACATTTTTATAATAACAACAATAGCAACAACAATAATAATAATAATAATAGCAATAATAATAATAATGATGATGATGATGATAAACAATGACAACAACAATAAAAGAATAAACAAATAAATAAGTTCGATACAAGAACAATTTTTTTTAAAAACAAATCCTAATAAAAACTCGCCCCGAATGAGATGTTGACCTTTATTCTTCGCGCAGTGGACTGTTTTATTGATGTAGTATACAGAAGCATGATGAAAAAAGTCGAGATGATCAAAGGCGACCGAGTATTGATCCGTGAAGTCATTTGAAAATGGAAACTTCCGATGATGGAAACTCGTTGATATTCCCCGATGGCTATACGTTTCGAGGGAGAGTTTTATTTGCTTAGGTGAATAAAGTCGTGTTTGTAAGCGAAGGCGGCAAAGGAAAAAAAAATAGTGTCGGAATATGCGTGTATCGGAGAATGTGAGTTCACACTGAGAAACAGTTAATATTAACGAGAAAGTATGAAAGAGAGAGAAAGAGAAAAGTGAGGGATTTGATTAAAGTTGGTTTGCAAATAAAATAGAGTGAGTGGTGTCACAGAGAAAGGAAAAGTAGCAGTATGAGTAACATAAAGGGAGAGTAGGTATAATAAGAGTGAGAGAGTCTCTGTTTAAATAGGGTTCTGATAGAGAGAAAAAAAAGGTTGTAGGAAAGAGAATTCTGCAAGAGAAAGAAAGCTATTTCCTTCGACCTGTGAAAAAAAAATCCCACCGACTCGTTTTTTAACATAGACTGAATATAGAGTATTTTACCGTATTTTACCTTGCATAAGGTGCACCTTTTTACCCAAAAATTTGATTTCAAAATATGCTTGTGTCCAATACACCGAAAGTATATATATATATATATATATATATATATATATATATATATATATATATAATATTCTTTTGTTTTAACTTAATTTTAATAATTATTTGGATGGTTTCGGCTCTCGTTTTTGAAACAGGAGAACTCTTATGTAGCGAAGGAATCATATTTTTAAACAAAAAATATTATAATAAAGTTTTACTTCTGTATGGAGCACTGTCTTCTTAAAAATAAAAACAAAAATATTAAGGAACTCCGGATTATGCACCCAACGTGTTCTTTTTCTATTTTCTGCATATCTGCGCACTTATATATATATATATATATATATATATATATATATATATATATATATATATATATATATATATATATATATATAAAGGAAAAAATGTATGACAAAGTGTAAAAGTTTTTCTTGTGACGCGTTTCATTCGTTAGGACTCCATCTGTTTAAACTTGTTATGTTGGTGCGACTACGTATGTGCACAAACCAGGGATGGTGGAAAAAAATTTCTAACCCGATTTCATTTAGATTCTTTTTCATTTTGTTTCCGTTACTTATGTTAGTAGATATCCCACCATAATAGAAGTTCTGCCAGGAATGTTGAAATATTGCATGAATTTATTATTGATGACCTTGCTATTAAGGCACTCTCTGGACATTTTCGTTGTAGTGAATTGTTTTCTCCTTTGATCAGAGTAGAATTTTTTTTATGTCAGAATTGTGGTCAGTCTCATTACGGTGGGAAACCGACGCAATTAATATATTGTTTTCTAAAATGTTTCTTTGTGTTCATATAGTCTTTTATTTAAATTCCTTGAGGTTTCGCCTATGCAATTTTGTGACAAATATTACAGGCGATTGGGTAAATTCCTTCTTCAAGTGTTTAGCTTACTGTTTAGTATTGACTAAGTCATTTTTTGTTGTAGATATAGTAGTAATACATTTTATGTTGAGTTTAGATAGATTCTTCCAACTGTAGATGTGACAGACTTAGTTGTTATCACATATATACATGGTGTATCAAAAATACTTTTACAAACATTGGGAGCGGATTCCACGCACCAAATCAAGGACAAAAGTTCATATAAACATATGTCTGCAAATCATTTGTTTTGAGTTATTGAATTTAAAGAAAGATTATGGTAGATGACGCTGTGTTGTCATGTAGGCTAGGTTACATTTGTCATTCGTGTACATTTGTGGCTAGTTTGTCTTCAACGTTTAACGTGTGTAGTAGTGATTTAACTGAGAAGTGTTCCGTTTAACAATGGCAGGATATTCAAATCCTGAATAGGCAGATATGATTTTTATACACGGCCACGCAAATGGTAATAGAAGCAAGGCTGCATGGCCGTATCAGATTGTGTTTCCAGACCGAAGACAGCCACGTCACCCAACCTTTGCTGCTGTTTATCCTCTCGCTGCAGAGACGGGATCTGTGTCCCCACAAACTATGGATCGAGTAGACCGAGCCCTGCTCGTACGCCTGATCACAAGGAACTTATTGTCAACACACATCAAATGACCCTAGCATGTTGTTCATAGCATTGAATGTGGTATAATTCTAGAGCAGTTCCTGTATCTGCATCATTTGCAATGTGTGCAGTGTCTTTCGCCCTTGGATCACTCACCACAGATAATACCCCTGCTAATACGAAGATGCATGCTGTTCATGTATGATGGAGCTCCAGAAGATTTTCGTCACATTGTTCGAGATGCACTCGCTGACATCTACCATAAAAGATGGATAGGAAGAGGAGGACCGGTTCCATGGACTGCACGTACCCCCGAACTCAATCCTTTAGGTTTTTATCTGTGGGACCGCCTAAAACAATTAGTTTATGCAGCAGACATAGATAATACGGAGACACTTCATGAACGTGTCATAAGGTCATGCGAAACAATTTGATACTGAATGGGAGTATTTGAAAAGATCCACCAGTCAATGATCCAACGGGGGCTTGTGTGTGTAGAAGCAAGTAGAGGACATTTTGAGCATTTATGTTGCTGTGTTGAGGTACGACGATGGCCTTTTTGACATGTTTATATTGATATTTTATCTTGTCGTAGTGTCAGGAATATACCCCCAAAGTTTGTAAAACTATTTTCGATATGCCCTACACACACACACACACACACACACACACACACACACACACACACACATATATATATATACATATATATATATATATATATATATATATATATATATATATATATATGGTACACATGAGCCATTTATTTGTAAACATATTTAAACACAGAGGCGTGTTAATTATAATATCTTACTTATAGCAAATTGTGTTCTTTTGCGTTTAGAAAATATATAATCATTTCTAAAATATCAGATTGAATTTTTGTTCAATAAAAATCATTGAAACACGGCTGTAGCCTTTTGTTCAGAAACTTTGTCTTCAAAACAAGTGCGCGTCTTATACACCGGTGCGTCTTATATTTTAAAAATTACGGTAATTTACAAAAAAAAAATCTTTTGCCCATACCTAATTGTAGCTTGAAGATTGAATGAAACACGCGGGTATAGATAGATGTGGATGCGTACAAGAGAGAATAAACGTGGGAATGTGTATAGTCAAGGGAGAGAGAAATGTATTTAGAAGAGAAAGAGAGAGAGAGAAAGATAAAAAGTGAGAGAAAGAAGGTGTAGGGGTGCGAGAGAGAGTGTGTGTGACTAAGGTTATAGAAACAGAGACAAAGTAGGCTGTAAGTATAAGCGTACGGAATACATTGAAAGGGCTGATCTTAGATTATAAAGGAATCCCAATGTGGTGTTGTTATTGCCGAATTGTTATTTTCAGTAGTAGTTGTACCAGTAATGAGTAATTTTAGTAGTATTGTTGTAGTAGTTGTTGTCGTTACAGTAAGAGAAAGTGAGAGAGAAAAAAAATCAGGAAGATAATACAATTAGAATTGTTTGCGTTAAAGCCACTTACCTAAAAATCACTCTTTTAACAACAGAATCAGATTGCAAAAACTTCTAAAGAGAAATATGATGTTTATTTCTCTGTACCAAACGAGTTAGCCTTACTACTACAAACTTGTTCAAAATCTAATCGGTCAAAATAACAGTTTTTTTTCTGATAAATATTTACACAGCGGTGTTATCGTCGATTGTATAAATGTTTATTTTATTTTTATTTTTTTTTAAAAAAGGGGCGTTTTTAAGTGAGTTTGGCTAAATGCTGAAATCAGATATAGTTCTTAAAATGAACTTCGAAGTAAAAGAACTCGTATCCCGGACATCTGCGAGAAAAACATATTTAAACGTGGGATTTACTCACTTAATAAACTTCTTTTTCATCTAGATGCCGTGTTATCGCAGGACATGGGCATTCATAGCTCTCCACAACTTCCTATCATTTGTAACTCTTAGCAGTATTTGTCTTTTTACTATCCTTCCAAATCCCCCATTTACACAATATCTTTAGGTATTTTATCGTTGTTTTCTTGTTTTATATTCAATATGTCCTGTAAGTGTCAAATTTTCTAGCCATTCTTTCCTCATTATGTGCCCTAGAAATTTCATCTATGTCTAATTATAAGTGTCCTTTTTGCTTCCATTGTTCTTAAAACTTCCCGGTTGCTTATATGCGCTGTCCTTTTCCAGCATCCTTTTGTGGAATTACATCCTTGTTTCTTCAAGTCGCCTTGCAAGGATACAAAAGGCGCTTATCTCTCTTTGGTGGAAATAGGTCACGTGGGTCACATGACAGCCGCTTATTGACGTCACTCCATACAGTGACGAAAGCGGCAGCCAACCAAAAGGTTACTTTCTTTAGCACGGGCCTCCATGGTTCGTGCTAAAGAAAGCTAAAGTCCATGGTACCGTTTCCCTTTGAGAATAGATTTTCCACAGGTATCGAAAGTAACTCCAACTCGCAATCATCAATTTGGGAAAACCCAAACACGATGTTTCCCGTAACGCACAATATGTCCCCGCCTGGGACATAGATGAATCCAGCTTGTTCGAATCTAGTGTCTTAAACATGGCTTCTCCACACAGTATCTCTATATTATATCTAAGTCCCTTCCTTTTGTTTCTTCATACACTCTGCTTTGCTGTGTAGATACATGTGATAAACTATTGACCGCGTGGGTATATATTGATTATCCAAGCGTAGCTTAGATATGGCACAAGGCCGAAAGAATGGGGCACCCAGTGAGAATCGAAACTCATTACTCAGTCGTAATTGATCTTGTGAGACAAGTTTGCTTACCATTACACCACCTCGAGGTGCCCTCTAGTGATTTTCCAAGCGTAGCTTAGATGTGACACAAGGCCGAAAATAGGGTGCACCCAGTGAGGATTGAACTCACTGCTAAGTCGTAATTGTTCTAGCGAGACAAGCTTGCTAACCATTATACCGCCTCGCGATGCCCAACCGCGTGGGTATATATGTATATATCTTAATGATATAAAAGTCTCTCTGAGAAAAAAAAACATGTTTGCCATTCCTTTTCTTTCGGCCATTGCGTTAAGTCCTTGAACTAAGATGTTATTATATCACGAACATAATAATATCCATAATGAGGTAAGTACAAATGGGAGAATAAATCTTTCTTCCATAGCTCTCTCTCTCTCTCTCTCTCTCTCTCTCTCTCTCTCTCTCTCTCTCTCGTTACGGCCTCTTCATCTTTGATGAAATTGCTCAACATTCACTTCTATATAGGAGGGCATATATAACATAGCTATTCAGCATTCTTTGATATTTTCCTATTTCTTTGCTATGTTTTTTGGAATTAATACAAAAAAAGGTTCTTAAAAGTGCACTCTTATACACCCAGTTCTAAAGCATAAATATGTATATAGATTGCAGCACAACAAATGTTAGCAAATATACAAATACATACGTATCCAAGTTCAAAATATTTCAATATTTCTCATTGTGCCTTATATATATATATATATATATATATATATATATATATATATACACTTGTTTATATGTATATATAGTTTTTATAATCTTAATATGTTGTAGAGTAGCTAGCACTCCTTCAGCACTCTGCCAGATGGCCTGGTTCATAACCTTAAATAGTCTACGATTAAGGACTTCAACAGTTGATTAATAAGTTGATACTAAGCTGATTAATATTCAGACTGATCTTAACTCGTTTGGCATTTGACCCTCCTCTATTCCTTGTAAGTTGTCTTGTTAATTGTTTTGTAACTTATTGTTCTGTGTTTTTGTATGTATCCTTTAGCATACGAGTTCTGAATAAATATACTATGCACTCATTATTCTCTGTGTATCATTCACCTCAACGATATAACATAATGATATAAAAGTCTCTCTGAGAACAAGGCATGTTTGTCATTCCTTTTCATTTTTGCAATTGCGTTACTTCCGCGAACTACGGTGTTATTATAACATGGATATAATAATACTCATAATGGGGGAAATACAAAAGGGAAAATAAATCATTCTCTAACAGCTCTCTTTCTTTCTCTCTCTCTCTCTCTCTCTCCCATTCTCTCTTGTTATAGCGTCAATTTTTATGAAATTGTTCAATATACACTATGATATAGGAGAACATATATCACATAGATGCTCAGCATTCTTTTCTTCGATTCTTGTAACATTTTCCTTTTTCTTTGCTATGTTTTTGGAAGGCATTAATTTCTATTCCAATGCGCCATCTGATTCTGGTGTTATATTTCCGTTTTTTGTTAAAACATTTAAAACATTTATATATATATATAATATATATATATATATATATATATATATATATATATATATATATATATATATAAACATACAAACGGTGAAAGAAAAGCGATTAAAAATAAATTTAAGGTACATTTAAAATGCTACAATGGCACATCCTGATTTCAGTTATAGTTTGTACTAACGCACAGTTTGATAGTTACACAAATTTAGTTTGTAAAACATAATAACTAGTCCCCCTCCTCCACCAAGATGATGATGAATATCATTCAGATATGCATTGGTTCCGATGTTCGATTCAATGTGAAAACATGGGCGCAAATTCTGTTTTAAGACGAATGAAAATGTGAATTTCATGCAGTTAAGAATATCTGAATATATTTTTTAGATAAACACGCCAGTGACTGAGAGAACTCGATTCGTTTATATATAGTGGTCTGTTTCTCTTTAAAATATTAGCTCTGGATTTACATTGAGCTCTCATGATTTCAAACTTAAATTGGTCTGTTTTTTTTTTTATATATATATATATATATATATATATATATATCACATTAACTAAGATTATGTTAGAGTGACACAGCGAAGAATGTGGAAAGTAAAACTGTATTGCGCCAATATAAACATTCAGATATGAAAATACATATATATACACATTCAAATATAAACATACGAATGGTGAAAGAAAAGCGCTTAATATAAACTTTAAGTTATGTTCAAAATACTACAATGGCACATCGTGATTTCAGTTTTAGTTTATGCTAACACATGGTTTGATAGTTACACTAATTTAACTTTTATTAAGGCTTCGTCAGACGAAGCTTTAATAAATCTGAAACATGTTAGATTGATATACGTTTCCTATTTGTTCTTTTATCATTCTGTCCGATTCCGATACATGTTTGATCTGCATTTGAACTGTAAATCATATATAGGTGTGTATGTGTGCGTGTGTGTGAGTGATTGAATTAAGTTACAAACTTTATTTTGATCATAATCCTTTTCAGATTCACGAATATATTTCCGTATATAACAATTAAATGTAGCAAGAAATACACTGTAACAGAGAGAATCACATTTATTTCCCAAGTACTTGGGAAATAAAAGTGATTCTCTCTGTTACAGTGCATTTGGAAACAACATGCTGTACTGCTTGGCATTCAGACCTGTTGCGCCAATTCTAACATTTCAAAGTGTTTGGGGGTCAATCTGAAGGCAGTGCAGAGGATTCGAAAGAGTTGGATTAGACTAAAGATGATTACGAAGGTGTTTGGTGTGATCACTAGTGATGGCGACGTTATGCTTCCATTCATCTTAAAGGGGCTCAAACTCAACACGGAAGCCTTGAGAAAATAGTGCTGCCTTGGGTCAAGAGGGTGGCTGCTGGAAGTCCCTATATCTGGCAATAGGACTCGACACCATACCATACAAACAGAAGAAACCAGTCATGGCTGACAGACAAATTCTATGATTAAAACACCCCTTACATCTGGCCACCTAACTCCTCAGAATGCAACGCCCTTGATTATTCATAATATGTGGGGCGCAGTTGAGCATGAGACCAACAAAATTCCTTGTAACACCAAAGATGAGCTGAAAGCAAGGATTATGGTAGCATTCACCAACTTAAACAAGGACACCGTCCAGAAGAGATGCAGGAGCTTCCGAAGTCGTCTGGAGGTCGTGGTTGAAGCCAATGATGACTTTATTGACTAAATTTACTCTTAATATTTCAAGGTATTTTTGTGAAATTTTAGAAAATATATCTGTTAAAATGACATGTCAGTGTTATTTTGTGTCCGCATAATTTTTGACGACAATTTATCCATCGCACCCTGAGTGTGTATGTATATATATATATATATATAATTTTCATCGAAAATATGGGATGTTGTTACCTGAGGTTACAATGTCTATTCAACAGCCAAAATTTCCTTTATCCTCAAAATAGAAACTTACAATTGTCAGCTCAGTCATTTGTCCTGTTGCTAATGATAATACAATTAGTGATTTAGCTAATAATCTACAGTCTTATTCATTTATTTATTTAGTAGGGAAAAGTTTACGACGAGATAAACAGTTTCCTATTGTGCATTTGTATTTTTATAATATCATCAATGACGAATACTGTGAATCATAATGAATTAATTAATAAACCAGATGTGGGGGTAGACCACCGAAGGCAAAATCAGCGACTAAAGTTCACGTTCTCACTAATGCCCTTAGGAAATACATGTAGCCATACTTTCTCACCACCCACGTTGAATAGCAGTGTCTTGAACGTCTATTGGGATTCAAGCTATCCCCTGAACTCAAGTGGAACACATATATCCGATGTATGGCTGAAGAAGCTGGAAAAATGGTTGGTTCATTACACCGCTCTGACTCCCTTTGCTAATCACCTTCTTCTTCTAATTGACGTGTCCCTTCAAGACGAGGGCGATCATAGCTCTCCACAGTTTTCTGGCCATTTTAGCTTATTAACTTTTGACTTTTCGCCATCACTTCCATATTCTGCTCCGGCATCCGTTCACCCAAATTTGCCAGATAGATTGTGCGTTGCTTTCCTCTCTCCCTCTTAACTTCAGTCTGCCCTGTGAGTATCAAACTTTCCAAGCCATGTTTCCTCATTATGTACACCAGAAATTGTAACTGTCTCTTCCTCATGTTAAATATGTGTCATTTTTATTGCCATTGTCTCTAGAACTTCGTCGTTGTTCACATGTTCTGTCCATGATATTCTCAGCATCCTTCTGTAGAACCCCATTTTTGTTGTTTCAAGTTACTTCTTCAACTGTGACGACATTACCCAGCATTCACTGCCATATAGGAAGAATGATACAATATAATAGTTCAGTAATTTTTCCTTTGTTTGTAATGATATTTTTTTGTTTCTTAATACTTTGTTCAGCTTTTGGAAGGCATCTTTCGCTATGCCAATGCGCCTTCGAATATCAATGCTGCACATTCTGTCCTCTTTTAATACGCTTCCTTGGTGTCTAAATGGTTGTCTCTATTTGATTTCGGTATCTCCAATCAGTAATTTGCATGTTAAGCAGTTCGTTTTGCTAACAACCATGCATCCCTTCTTCTTGCAATTGATGTTTAGTCCTTTCTCTCGATTTCCTTCACTACTTTCTATTGTAATTTCCTTTCTGTGTCTGTCATCAACACTGTGTCATTCACATATCTTGTGTTGTTAACATTACGGCTGACAATAAACAAATCTTGATAGAACTTCTAATTCTTTCTGTATGGTCTGGTTGTATAGGTTAAAAATGTCTTTTTAAAGCAAATCACCCCGAACAAGGCGGGAGGCCCACTAGCACGCAAGGGGCTACAAAGAGTGAGAGAAAGAGTAAAGAGGAAAAGGATAAAGAGAAGGACAGGGATCAAGGTCAAGGCATCAGAAGATGTCGATTGACATTACATTTGAATATTTAAAGATTATAGCTATCAAGGAAGCAAGTGATAGGAAGGGAGTTCCACTGATGGGGGTGCGAGACAAGAATCTTTTGTAGTAGAAGAGATTACTACATTTGAAATGATGGGACCTATATGGCAACCTAGTAGCACACTTAAATTCATGCAGTTTGGGAACCAGTGAAAGTAACTCATCGGAGCAGTTGCCATGAAAGTACTTGTAGAAAAGACAGAGGGAAGCCAGATGTGAGAAGTCTTATTTTTGTCTTACACCCCTTTGCATTTTTGTACATTTACTGAATTAATTTTATATACGTATACAGGCATATAGATTCTGGATTATTCTAATGTCCTTTCCACATTTGTCAAGGTTACCTAGTAATTCCAGCAGATCTTTTTAACATAATTTATCAAATGCTTTTGCATAAACTATAAAACATAGGTATCAATTTACTGTTATTAATTCATTGTTTCTATTAAATTTATTATTTTAAAAAACAAAAAAACTATTTTTTAATTATAATTAGCGAATAATTTCAAATTCATTTTAGTGTTTGGGACACACTGATTTCAATCACAAGAACGGCTTAATGGCAATAGATGTTATTATAATCAACGGCTTCATCTGTATTAAGGCTTAGGGTCATGTCACGTTGAAACACCAGTTTCTGTACGACCACTGGACAGTACCTAGATGGGTACCCGCTCGGGTGCTGTAAGCGTGGATGTGTGCGTGGTGTAATGGATAATGGGTCGCAATTGTTAATTGGGGGAGGGGGCAAGTTCCAATTCCCGTTTGGTTCGTTATATTGACTTACTTGAAAATAAGCCTTGGGCAAGGTATGAATCCACCTCTTCTCCACCAATCTATGTGTTAATTAGTAATGACTTGTATTTCCTCTAGACCAACCACAACCGGGGTCATAGAGTCATTGTAAACTCCACGACCCTTTCAGTAGTTGTATAGCATTTACTCCGCCAGTATACGGTTTGTTCTTCTCCTAGACTGGTTGCCACCCAAGGCTGAAAAAATCAAATTGGTAACAATAAAATACTTTTTTCCCCATATAATCATTACTAATGCTATATCTAGCTATGATACGCACACTGAAGCACACCGCCCTCGTTTCATTTATGAGTTTAAGTTCCACTCTAGCTGATTCTACCCGCAAACAGATACTTTGTGGAACCGACTCCCAAGAGGGTGCTTTCCTGGTCATTACAATATTGATGTTATCTTCCCCATATATCCGCATAAACTGTGCCTCTTGCTCTGTAACCCTTTACCTCGAGTGGGTTTTGGCCCTTGTACAAGGTGAACTTTGTTGTAAAAAAAAATAATGACAACAGCTATAATAAGTTCTACAATAATTATATAAACAGCGGTTATAAAAACAAAATAATAATAATAATAACAATAATAATAAACGAATGACGTATAAAAGCAGCAAATTATAGTAAAAGAGAAAAATATATATTGCCAAACAGTAACGAAAAGTGTTTCTTAAAACACGGATTGTGAAACATTTTGCAACTGTTATACTGTGTTAAAAATCGATAATGAGAAAAATGACAGTTGAAATCGTTTCTTTGCGAACAGACCTAGAACGACGAGCCAAGCGATGTGAAACTGATATTCATAGCAACAGCAGCAGCAGCTGTTTGCCTGGTGAAGGATACCAACACCTGTAAATGGCACAACAAACATCATTAAGAGAGATTAATAAAAACGGAGCAAAAGATAGATAGATAGATAGATAGATAGATAGATAGATAGATAGATAGATAGATAGATAGATAGATAAGGAGAGAGGGATAGGGAGAGATGGGCAGGATGAGGTAGATAGATATGAACATGATGAGATAGATAGATAGATAGATAGATAGATAGATAGATAGATAGATAGATAGATAGATAGATAGAAAGAAAGAACCTGTGATAGATAGATAGATAGATAGAGAGAGAGAGAGATAGAAATAAAATGATTATAAAGGGTTATATAAATAACAATGACATTATTATTCATGAAATTTAGCAAGAAGTAATTGTATAAAATAATACCATGGTTTTAAGACAGAAATATTGGTCGGCAGAGATATGGGGAAAAGATAGATAGATGGACAGAAAAGTATTACGTTTCAGAAGTTAGATAAAAAAAATATGTCCATAAGCAAAAATAGACGGTTTGTTGCAAGAATCGCTTCATATTGCACTAATAGCATTAGCCGTGGTATGAGCCATAACAAAATAATATTTAACGAATATAAGAAAATAAATGGAGAAAAAAGGTGTGGAAGATTGAAACATAAATAGAAGTAGAGAATTAGAGAGAAAGATAAAGAAAGAGAGAGAGACATTTTAAGAAAGAAAGAAAGAAAGAAAGAAAGAAAGAAAGAAAGAAAGAAAGAAAGAATTAGAAAGACAGAAAAAGATAGAAAATGCAAATAAGACAAAAAAAGTTGATTTAAAAAGAAAGGAAGAAAGAAAATTAGAAAGAAAGAAAAAAGAAAGAAAGAAAAGAGAATTAGAAAGAAAGAAAGAAAGAAAGAAAGAAAGAAAGAAAAGAGAATTAGAAAGAAAGAAAGAAAAAAGAAAAGTGAATTAGAAAAAAGAAAGAAAGAAAGAAAGAAAGAAAAGAGAATTAGAAAGAAAGAAAGAAAGAAAAGAGAATTAGAAAGAAAGAAAGAAAGAAAGAAAGAAAGAAAGAAAGAAAAGTGAATTAGAAAGAAAGAAAGAAAGAAAGAAAGAAAAGTGAATTAGAAAAAAGAAAGAAAGAAAGAAAGAAAAGAGAATTAGAAAGAAAGAAAGAAAGAAAGAAAGAAAAGAGAATTAGAAAGAAAGAAAGAAAGAAAAGTGAATTAGAAAAAAGAAAGAAAGAAAGAAAGAAAAGAGAATTAGAAAGAAAGAAAGAAAGAAAGAAAGAAAGAAAGAAAAGAGAATTAGAAAGAAAGAAAGAAAGAAAGAAAGAAAAATGTAATAGATGTAAATAGAATATAATATAGATTCGTAGAAGCTCTAGTGTGAGGCAATGGTTAGTGTGATAATCTCTTAGTCCATTAATGCCTATTTTTCTTAGCATCAGTTAATTTTAGTACAGTTG